CTACTCAGTAGCAATAAATGACAGAAACATAGATAAATCGCTATTATTATATTGGAAAATGTCAGGGATAGAACAAGCCCCATGAAGTAAAATATTTACAGTTAGATGTAAAAACGTATATGTTTTAACAACAAAACATAAAATAACAGCAAAAATAAAATAAATAAAATAAAAATAGAAAATACTTTTAAAAGGATAGTTACAGTCATAGATAATAATGATTATAGTTATAATGAAATTGATATAGAAGAAGATTTAGAAATAGTAAAAGAAAGACTAAGTACATCAAAAAGAATAAATAATGAAATATCTCAAATATCATAAAAAATGAGTACCTCAAGAAGAATAGATAAAATTCCACAAAAATCAATGGAAGAAGAAATAAAACCACATCATTACTACATAACGGGAATAATGGAACAACGAAAATATTTAATATTAATAAATACAGGACTAGAAGAAAACTATATTATAAGAGAATTAGTAACGGAAGATGAAATAATAACTACTGAACAATTATGCCCCGAACTACCAAAAACATTAATGTATACCGAAGAAACTACAGAAAAGGAAATAATCATTGCATAAGTACAAATAGTAATAAAATTTAAAATATATCAAGGAGATGAAAATATCACTTTAGGAATAAAATGGATAGAACAAGTAAAACCATATAATCTAGAAGACAAACAATTAATAATAAATTATAAAAATAAAAGAGTAATACTCCCTCTGTCCCATTTTATGTGGCAACATTTCCTTTTTGGTCAGTCCCAAAAAGAATGTCACATTTCCTTATATGAAAAGTATTTAAAGGTACAATTCCTTTTTTATCCTTGTTGGTCCCACTTAATCTTAAAATAATACTCCAATACATTTATGAGGAGAGAGAAATTGAGTCTACTTTTTAAAAGGGCAATTTGGTAAACATTTCAAAGTCTTCATTTATTTCTTAAACTCCGTGCCCGGTCAAATGTTGCCACATAAAATGGGACGGAGGGAGTAATAAAAAGGACTTTAGTATGATAAAAATATGAAAATATATATACTTGCAAAGATAATAATAGAGGGATATTACAACATATATTATACACCAATGATAGATACGGGAGCAGAAGCTAATATATGTAAATACAATTGTTTACCAAAAGATAAGTGAGAAAAATTAAAAACACCAATAGTAGTAACATGATTTAATAATGAAGGAAGCATGATTACATATAAGGCCAAAATTATGAAAATACAAATATGGGATAAGATACAAGTAGTAGGTGTACGTAATTTCATAATCTTATGTACAAATATGCTTGGTTTTTCATCCTTGTCTACGTCTCCTGTATTTACTTCTAAATTCTTTGTATTATCTATGTTTGCTAAAAGTTTCGTATATGTTTCGCTTGTTTCCGAATGTTGTTCATCTAGATCATTGTTATTTATTTCATCAATTCTTATTTCGGGTAGATTATTTTGGTTATTTTCTTCTTTTTCTTCTAATTCATCTTCTAATTGCAATTTTTAAAAAATTTATTTATCTCATTTGCTAATTTTGGTTTTTGTTCTTTTTCTTTTTGTTTCATTTCATACATCTCTTTTAGCATTGCCAACTCTTTTTCTAGTTCTATTATTTTAGTATTTTTTACTTCTTCTAATTGTTGTACTTCTTTTTTTGCTTGTTGTTTTATTTTTTCAATTTCCGTTTTTCTATCTATTTCTTCATTTTCTTTTGTTCTTCTTACCATAACAGTTAAACTATCTTCTAGTTTTACCGTTTCTTTTTCTAACATTAAACTTAGATTGTCACCTATTTTTAATCTGTCATAGTTTTCATATGTTTTTTCATCTATTGCGTATTCTTCCTTATTCATTTATAGATTGTTGACGTTTATATTCTAAATTTTCTATTTGTATTTGTAGATATAAAATAGTTTTCCTTTGTGCTACTATAGATTTTTTACTAGTTCCTTTGAATATATTACTGTTAAGTCTACTTTGCCTATGTGCTAATTCTTGTCGTTTTGCTATAATTATTTCAGTAAGTTTTTGTCTATATTCGTTATTCTCGTTATTCATTGTATTTTTAAATATTGAATATATTTATATTCTATTTTAGATATATTATCTATTAATTGATCTAATTTGTCGTTATCAATTTTTGTGATATTGAGTTGTTTATATTCCGGATACAATTTGTTTAATTTTCTTCTTATTTTTCTTAATTTTCTACTAGTACGTTTCTTTTTATATTTCTTTTTATCCATAGTTCTGATACTAGCTTAGCCTAAAATTTTTATGTCACTATCCAAAAAAAATTATGGCCCAATTTCTTTCACCATTGGTCTAATCATAACGATCGGGATGGATCATACACTAATACAAAACAGTAGCTGCAAAACTACCTAATACATAAAAATGAATAATCAAAACACCTATTTTATCATTATTGCCCAATAATTATATCTTCATCACATTATCATTATGTCGCGATTACTCCATTAATTAACACAAATTCTAATAGTATAAATAAATAATTTCACCTATAATAAATGGTCTTATTTGACATTTATTTGGGCACATATCATTATTAGTAAAATACTTGTATAAATGTAGCACCTCACATATCTAACGTCAAAGATAAAATCGAAAATCTCCTCTTTGAACCTTAGTTAATGTTGTGACTTGCGTCCCAACTGCTCTTTATTTGGAACTTTTAAATTCATCTTTTAACATGTTAAACCCTTCTCACTTAAATTTATCTTTGTTTATGAATCACGTGGCATAAAGATATTAAATGAGTTATGAACTTGGTTCATTAATCATCAATTAAACTGGTTGTCTAAAATAATTAAAACTTCAAGTATATCCATATGATCTGTTTGGAATCTTGCGAAAATAAATTGAATATATAAATTGTTAAAAAAATACGTTTCAGACCTATTGAAAATATCAAACACTGATTCAAGGTCATCTTGATCGAAAATTGATCACGGTCAAACTTAATTTTTCTTAAAACTCAAGAACCCAATCAATGACCCAAATCGCTAATTTCGAACACCCCAAGATTTGTACTATCAATCTCTACAAGTTATAATCACATATAAAAACTATTAAAAGGTCAAAATAGAAAAACACACATCAAATTTATAAAATGACTAGAAGGATCTTTATAGTCATTTACCCTAATATTTATAAAAATAAATTTCACATATTTATAAAAAAATAATTGTACTTTCTTCTTGATTTATTTGATGTGATTATTTTGATTATTTAAAACTGTGGTCATGTCGCTGACATGTTAATGATTAAGTTTTCATAAAGTTCTTACAATAGTTTTTACAAAATGTCACTTTAGATCAATAGAATAAAAAGAGTAGCTATGAAATTGTCAGTACATCATAATTAGTGAAACATTGTCATTCCTCTAATGAAATTGTTGCCTATTTTGTCTCTTTGCATCTTTCTTTCTCATTCTCAACGAGAGGAACATAATGACCCTCTACCTTTCAACCCGTCAGAAAATTAATGAAACTGAAAATAACTGATATTGATATATGAAATTTTCATTAGACAACCATAACAATCACCGATTCTCTTTCCTTTTTATATGATCACCACTATCATATTTCAATGAAGAGATATAATTTTTATACCCTTTTTTTACATGTAAATTCGTATTAATGTAAAAAATTTAAATGCCTCACAACTCTTTACTCCAATAGACAATAACTGAGAATTTTCTTGTGCATAATAATTGACAATTAATGCTAGAGAAAAGTAACTATAGTCATCGACAATAAATAATTTAAATAATTCATTTACCTTTTGAATTTAATGTTTTATCATTGGAGTAAAAGTCAATCAATGTTAACTTCACAAAACTGTTACCAGAAAACTTGTGAAGTTGTAGAATTGGTGTATTTCTATTCTGTGGCAGTTTGTGATTGACAGAAATATCATTACTTGAGTGCCTTCAAATTATATAAATACTATTTGAATATGCCGTATCTTCTTCATAACACTAATCTCTTTAAGATTGTTAGAAAAATAAGAAAAGCAAAATAAAAGAGGAATGACTTTTAAGCATGAAAAAAAATCATCTTTTCATAAAGAAATATTGTATGTATACAAATTGAAGAAAATACAAGTAATTCCCTTCAAATACAGTAACATCCATCTTTATACCTTCAATTTTTTTTATGCTAAACTTCAAAGATGACTTTTTAGAATGGTCATATTCTTTCACGAACAAATGTATTTGTTCAGTTTAAGATCTCTATATATTACAAATTATCTAAAAAATTATTTATCCTGTCATATGATGCGTGGAGCTTTCACCATCTGTATTAGTGACGTAACATGCATTAAATTTTTTGATACAAATTCAAATTATTTAGAACTAAAAATATGTTCTTTGAAACAACAAAAAAAGTAATGCTAGTGGTCTAATTTGGACTCAAAATATCTTCTAGGTTTGGCGTTATGATTTAGGGTTAAATCATTTAATCCATCCCTAACGCCGTTGTCTATATTCAAAACGAAAAACTCCTATTTATGCTTATATATATTTATATAAATGCCATCGCACTAGGTATAACCAATTTGCTGCTCTCCTCACTAGTTAGAGTTCGCCAATTCACTACTATCGGGCGACCCTTGATAAACCCTATAATTTTCTGATAAAGGTTTGAACATTCATTTTGAACGGTGAATAATCGCACCAACACCAAGTAGGTAATCTTCAATATTATAATAGAAGACATTCAAAGTTAGGACAATATATTTTTAAGTTTAATTATTTAATAATCTAATTCATTTGAACTTGAAATTTTTAATAAAACATACTTCAAAGAATTAAAGACAATTTTACGAAATCAATTTAATTATTTACAATTTTTAATTATAATTACACAAATAATTAAATTTTAAAAATATGTCCATAATAGTATGAGATTAGACCTATAAATACATTTTTTTTTTTTTATATTCATTCTACTTAGGTTTTCCAAGTGTGCTGGTGCTTCTCACAAGTAAAATAACATTTTACACCGCCTTCATCAGATCTGGTTCTCTTATGTATGTATTTCCTTCATTTTCTTTTGGCTCTTCGTTTAATCTTTGCCTCTTGCTAGAATTTACTTCTATGTTTGTACAGGTATGTTTTTGTATTCAAGTGAACTGATTTAGGGTTTATTTTAGGTTCTTCGTTTAATCTTGCCTCTTGGTCGATTTTGTTTCTTTTTTGTACAGGTATGTTTTCGTATTAGAGTGAACTGAATTTAGGGTATCTTTTGGTTCTTCGTTTAATCTTGCCTCTTGGTCGATTTTTTTTTTCTTTTTTGTTGTACAGGTATGTTTTCGTATTAGAGTGAACTGAATTTAGGGTTTTTTTTTTTTGGGTTATTTGGAGGCCCTTATTTTTTGACTTACGGTTGAGCCGCCCTTGGGTTTATGATAACTTCTGTCTGAACTCTACTAATCTTGATGTGCTCGAATTCCGCCCCTCCTCCCACTTCCAGTGAATGATTCAATGTTTATTTGTTAACTTTTGTGTTTCTGTCACTGTGCACAATTTTTTTCCCAATTCAAAACTGATGTTGAGGATTGTAATTTCTTACAGGATAAATTGAGAGTAAATTAGTGTGTAGTTCAAAGGATTAACTAGCTCAAAGTTTGTGTTAGTTTGAGTGGGGAAAAAGAATCCTTTTCAAGTTTTGAAATTGATTAGCTTATGATGGTGGTGGTGGTGGCTATTTGTGCTCGAATTCAATCTTTATTTGTTAACTTTTGTGTTTACGTCACTGTTGCTATTATTCCCAATTTTAAACTGGTGTTGAGGAGTGTAAATTATTGTAGGATAGATTGAGAATAAATTTGGTTGAATTGATAAATGAGTGCGGTGTAGTTGTATAGTTCAAAGAATTAACAAGGTCAAGGTTTACTGAATAGTTTGGAATTTGCATTACTGAAATTTCCTTCGCGCTTGCTTGTTTGTGTATACGTACCCTTTTCTATTACTGGAAATGTTAACCAAAAACCTTTATTGTTTTAATAATCACATCCTCGCAAGACCTAGTTCTGCTTTACTTTCTTTCTTGTTTTAAAAATCATTCTGAACATGTATTCAGCATATACAAAGTGTTAGGGCATGGCACATAAGTGGGTGCATTTGTGGCTTTTTAAGTTTTGACATTTTCCTTAATTGTTGTCTTTGTTACCTGAATGTGTATTTCATTTATTGTCGTGTTTCTAATTGTAGTTATTTTGATGAGCTTTGCAGTTTGCACATCAAGAGCAGCTTTCATCTACCAGAAGCATAATTGCATTGATGTGTTGTGGAAACTGACTTCGTACTCCTGAGTTGATATGGGTTTTGATATTGAATGCATAATCGACATCCATACCTATCCTGGAGAGTATTTCTGTCCTGTTTGTCGCACACTCGTATTTCCTAATGAAGCCGTCCAATCACAGTGCACTCATCTCTACTGCAAACCTTGTCTGGCACATGTTGCCAATGGGAGCCGAGCCTGTCCTTATGATGGATACTTGGTGACTGAAGCAGACTCTAAAGTGAGCTCCCTGTAGTACATTGTCCTTTAGATAACTGCTGATGCTTTTGCTACTCGTGATATTTTGAATGTGTTGCATTTACTTTTCCTCACAGGCCCTTATCGAGTCGGACAAGACACTTGCTGAAAGCATAGGCAGAGTTAAAGTGCGTTGTCTCTATCACAGAAGTGGATGCACATGGGAAGGTTCCTTCTCTGATTGCACTTCCCATTGTTCTGGCTGTTCCTTCGGCAATTCCCCAGTTGTATGCAATAGATGTGGAGTCCAGATTGTGCATCGACAAGTGCATGAGCATGCCCTGAGTTGTCCTGTGAGTACTTTTCATAAATATGTAATACTCATCTTTCTTGTATGGATGGTTTCTTAGTGTATGTTCTATCCCCAGGGTGTATATCCTGCACAGCAGACAACTAATGGTGCCCAAGATAATCCTAGCTCTGGTGCAGCCACCACTGCTGCTGGTACCGACTCGAATCGAACTACGGCTCATTCAGGAACTCCAGCATCACAGACACCAAACCCTCAAACCACAACTGCTTCTCTGCTTCCTGGACAAGATCCCAATCAGCAAACAAATGCCAGCTCTCAGGCTCTTGCTACTGCTTCAGCTGGTGTGCCTACTTCAGAGCAGTGGTATCAGCAATATTATCAGCAATATGCAGGATATGAGCCTTATCAACAGCAAACTTATCAACAATACTATCCTTATCAGCAACAACCCCTCCAACAATTTCAGCAACAACCTCACATTTACATGCAGCCACCAGCACAACCCCAGACCCCGGTCCCAGCCCAGCCCCAGCCCCAACCCCAGCCCCAACCCCAGCCCCAGCCCCAGCCCCAGCCCCAGCCGCAACCACTTAATCCTCAATCTCAACAACAACCTCATACTCAAATGCAAGCTCTACCTAAAGGGCCAACTCAACCACAGGTTCAACCTCTGGCACAACAGCATCAAAACCAAGTCAACCCAGTGCAGCAGCTCCCACCTACTATGCAACCTCATGCCCAAATTCCATCACAAATATATCCAGCTTCTGGTGCTCATCCACCATATTCACAGACCTATCCAATGCAGCCTCATTCACAACAATATGTGCAAGTGCCACAGTATCAGCAGCCTCCTGCCCAGGTTCATCCCCCTCCATCTTCTCAAGCCCAACCACATCCTCCTGTGCAACCACAACCTCATTCACAACTCCAGCCGCAAATAAATGTGCAACATCATCCACAATCTCATGGCCAATTGCGGCCTCCTCAGGTCGGCCAGCCTACTCATGCACTGGGTCAGACCCTCCCTTCAACAGCCAATGCAGTTTCAGGTTTCCATTCCTATCCACAAACCCAGCTCACGCAGCAAGTGGCTATAGGGATGTCACAGCAACCTCCAATGTATCCACATCCTACTAGTGGGTCTATGCCTCTGGTTCAAACTCATGGTCAGGTTCCTCAACCTCCCTTAATGCGCCCACCTCTGGGTCTAATCGGCAATCAGCAACTGGGGCTGGTACCTACTCAAGGTCAAGTTCCTGCGCAATCTCAACTTTATGCTACTGCTCAACAAGCAGGACACTCAATTCAGCAACATCCTGTTCGGCCTAATCAACAGCCAATGTCTCAACAGTACAGTCAACATCATACATTTCCTGGTCCATTTCCGAGCCAATCACACCAGCAAGGTCATTTTACTCACCAGCAGCCGTTGCAGTCTCAATTTCGCCCTCAAGGTCTTCCTAATGTGGTGCCTCAAAGTTTGCATGCATATATTCAGCCACAGCAAAATGCCACCTTACCACCTCCCCCACAACCTCAACAATCTCAAACATATATAGGAAGGCCTGGGATGCAAAATCATGTCCAGTCGATTTCACAGGCTCATGGTGGATATAATACTACAGCCCAGGTTAGACCTGTCCAGCCTGCTTTAAGCCTGCCGCAAATAAATCCAAGTTATGGGAGCTACACGAGCAATGAGCACGAGTCAATGGATCAGAAGATACGGTTAGCCCTAGAGAGTAAAGGTGATCTGTTACCTGACAAAACTTCAGGACGGCCAGAAGTGGGAGTTCCTTCCCAGGACAATGCTCAAAAGGATCTAAATTCTCTTCCAGCCAAATCAATTGATGACGAGTACAGACAGAGGGGCAGCAGTGATATAGATGAACATAAGGGTGATTCAGATGAGCTTATGGACAAAAGAACTGTTAAGGAAGAGGAAAATGAGAATTTTTTGAAGCCTAAATCTGCTGCCAAATCAGCTGATGCAACAGTTAAGCCAGACAAAGATGCCTGTGATGATACTCCAAAAGAACTGGACCAGACTTTGGAAAAGCATGAATCTTCTGATGCTGCTGATGGTTCGATTAAGAATCTGAACTCTGGAAGAGATTCACATGACTCTACCATTGACAGAGGGGTTTTTCAGCAGTATGGGCATGGGATGCCACCACCGAAATATGGACCGTCTGCGCAGCAAAGGCCCGTTGGTCCTATGATAATATCACCAGGGCAACCTGCAGGCAGTGCTTCTCATGCCCAACTCCCTGGATATCCCCCCACTGCAATGATACCTTCAGGGGATGTGCCTCAGGCTGGTCAGCCATTGAATTCTCTTGATCATCATCCACAATTCCTGAAGCAGCCTAGTAGTGCCCCCCTTGGTGGTATCCCTGGTCCAGGGTCTATAACAACCTTTGCTAGGGGGCATGGTCATTTTCTTCCACCAGGTGAATTCCCAGAGGGGATAACGGGAGTAGGAAGAGCACCATTAAGTGGTACTGAAATTCCTAGTGGAACACAACACTCAGTTAATCCAGCAGAGGCTGAAATGTTTCAAAACCAAAGGGTGAATCGGTTTGAAGGAAATCAACCAAACCCATTTTCCTCTGGGTCTTTTGAGAAGGTTCCATTTGGCCAACCTAGAAGTATGGAATCAGCTAGGGATAAAAGGTTGAAGGCGCCTATGGGGGAGCATTTAAGTCCTTTGCCAGTGCCTCGCGATCAAGGTGAGTTGGACTTTGATATTCAATTATTTCCTAAATAATTTATCAAGAAGAGTTAAAATCAATGTCCTAATTAATTACACTAAATAATGAACTTTGTTGTTGCAGGATCATGGCCACATGACAAACCTCCTCGCGGATTAGGATATGATTCTGGATCAAAATTTGAGGCCAGTACCGGGGTTCCCCCTAACAGATTATTGCCTCCACATCATCCTCCTGGTTCGATGCATTTCAAGGATAGTGGAGAAAGAGAAGCACCACTTGGTCCTCATGACGATGATAGAAAAAGGGGAGGATCTGGATTTGGTGTGCATCATATGGATTATTTGTCTGCCAGAAACCCTGATGGGGAGTTATTTAACATTCCACCACGTGGATTTGTAAGTCACTCAGGTTTTGATGATATTGGTGGCAGAGAGCCCCATCAATTTATTGAAGGGCCTGGACATTTCAATTTACCTTCCAATCTAGCTGGCGGTTTATACTCTAATGGTAGGTTCCAAGCTTTGCCTGGCCATCCACATGGAGTAGAGACTGATGGTCTTGGGGATTTGAGAGGTGGTGAGCATACTACCTTTGGTCGTCCTTACAAACATGTCCAGAGTGGTGATCTGTTTGGAAAAGACATGCCGAGTCATTTGCATCATGATGAGTCTTTGGATCCTCTGAAATTACCAAGTCATTTACGTTTTGATAAACCTGCTGGCTTTGGTTCCTTCGCTGGCCGTGCTTATATGGGGGAGTTGTCTGGGTTTGGAGATATTCCTGGTTTTGGTGAATCAATTGGACGCAACAAACCTGGTATGCCACGGTTTGGGGAGCCTGGCTTCAGGAGCAGGTATCCTGTCCCGGGATATCCGAATCACGGACTTTATGCAGTAAGTTTTGCCTTATGAACCCTGTAATTATCTTGTTCATTTTCCTTGTTAGTATGTTATTTCTTGGAAATAGAGCTTTATTGCATTGTTATCACGTGATCGACATAATGTGCATGAAATTAGAATATCCTCTTATTAATTTTTTGTGAACTCGCAACTTCTCAGGGTGATGTGGACTCCTTTGATAGACCAAGAAAGAGGAAGCCCACGAGCATGGGATGGTGCCGCATTTGCAAGGTTGATTGTGAAACCGTTGAGGGCCTAGATATGCATTCACAGACAAGAGAGCACCAGGATATGGCTATGGATATGGTCAGGTCTATCAAGGAGCAAAACCGAAAGAAACAGAAGTGAGTGTTCGATAGATTTTGTAACACCAACAAATTCGACAGCATAAATTCTAATTCCTTTTGCTACCATTTTGTAGGACTTTTAGTGATCGTGCTTCAGTTGAAGAGAAAGGGAGGACTAGAAAGGCAGTGTTCGAGAGCCGTGGTAGAAAGACTTGAGCTTGGGATAGTAGATAGGAAGTGAAAGGCTGTGTTTGATGGTTGTAACTAAGCCTTCAGTCAAGCATTTGCACCACAATGTAGGTGATTAGCTTTACAATCTTTCTTCTTCTTCTGGGGGTTTTTATCCTAGCTTTGTCATTTCAGGTTGCTGCCCTGTTGTTGGAAGATGGTTTGGATTGGAAGTTTCTGTGGCAGTTAAGTTGTTTTGCCCATGGTTTTGAAAACTTATTTTTCCTGTATTAGGACAATTATGTCAACTTAGTCCTGGTGGATCTGTAGCTATATTCTGCACTTTCTTGCTTATGCAACCTAGTTCAGGGAACGTTTCCTGCTAATTAAATGTTGCTATGCGTTAGTTTCAGTTCTTATGCGAGAGTTCCTATAATATGTATGCTGTGATCTTACCTCTGTCTTCTAGTGCTCGTTCATGCTTCGGGAATGAAATAGTAACTAATTGTGATGCTTCATTGGATATGGGATAGTGAAGACCTGATCCTTAAATAATAACCATGGAAATCATATCAAATCATACCTTTTTTTGTTATTCCTTAATTTTTGTTGGTCAACAGAAGATTACTTTTCCATAAAGAATTGGTATAGAAGTTCTTCTGTCTGCTTCCTAACCAAAACGCTACCTTCTCTATTTTGAAAAAAGAAAAAAAAAAGCAAAACTGTATGTGAAGATCAGTTTTGGCCCTGACAGTGCACAGTTTGCTGTGCAGCATCTTAAGTAAAAAGGGGCATTGCCACATTGGAATGTCCCCTTCACTTTTCTTAACTAAATATTCACTTTGCGTAAGAGGGATTCTTATGGCCACTTTTGGGCTGCAGCGATACATAAAGCAGAGACGCACACAGTTATCCAGAAAGAAATAAACTGCTGAGACACACAGACAGAACCTGTGATCCATGAACGTACTATACAGTTAGCAACTGGAGTTAAAATATAACTTCCGCTTTACAATTTACCATCCTAGTTTTTAGAATATGTAGAGAACTTGCAGTTTCTAGAAGTCTAAATTACATAAAAAAACTTGAATGGAACTGGTTCTAGTGGAACTAAATCATATTGATGGTCCATATAGCTGACCTCAGCTGGCTTGGGATTGAGGCGTAGCACTTGGTGAGACATTCTTTTCATTGCTTGGAGATGCTTTTCTGGTCTTAACATTGAAGTTCAGTTAGGGCGTCTTTTTTTGTTTTTCTATGGTGTCTCCATGGTTACTAAAATTGACCAGTGTATGAGCTGCGGAGTTATGTACCATAGCAACCATTAGATTGGTATATCAATACAACTGTACAATAATTATTATAAAAATTTAAAATTGGTGGCTCTCGGTTAACAGACTATCAATATTAGATTGCTGTTTTTCTTGATTGAAGGGAGGGGGTTTGCATTATTTAATGGCCAACCAAAAAAAAGACTATGAAAAGACACATTTATACTCAAGACTGAAATCCCCTAGTTCAGATGACATGTAAAATTGGCCGGTGTATGAGCTGCGGAGTTATGTACGATAGCAACCATTAGATTGGTATATCAATACAACTGTACAATAATTATTATGAAAATTTAAAATTGGTGGCTCTCGGTTAACAGACTATCGATATTAGATTGCTGTTTTTCTTGATTGAAGGGAGGGGGCTTGTATTATTTAATGGCCAACCAAAAAAAAGACTATGAAAAGACACATTTATACTCATAAGACTGAAATCCCCTTAGTTCAGATGACATGTAAATGGGGGTTTGGTCGAAGGAGATCAGTTGGTGAAGATAATTAAAGCTTGTTCTTCATAATACACAATCCTTTGAACTTTGAATATAAAATGCATAACTTCTGTGTTGGGGGTTGGGAGAAGCTTCTGGCCATTGTCTTCTGCCACACAGCAGTTTTAAAATTTGTTTTTGACTATAGGGCTCTTTTGTTGTGTATCTCTTTTAGTACTTGCCTGCAGTTTTATTTTGTGATGTTCTCTCATGCCTTGAGGATGCATCATAATTTTCATTGTTCTTTACTCGTTAATATTGGAATTCCTGACTCCCTCTGGCCTAGGTTTGTTAAGCTAATTTGTCTATTGCACAAGGTTATTTCACTAAGCTAGGTTGCTAATGTTTTGATCTCTCCATTCTTGGGACTGGTTACCTGACAGATGTAGCTTAGTTGTAAAGACTAGGTTTTAATGATGGAAAATATTCTTGAAGTTGATCTGGTATTATTATGATATTGAACCTCTTTTTGAGAAACGTCTACGGAGTTCTCTGGTCATCATAATTTGAATACTTTGCAGGATGTTGACCATGTATTTAGGTTATTCTTTATTAAGACTTTGATTCGTTCTATATCATCAAAGTGGAATTTAGCCATAAGACCATACAGATTGCTGAAACAAAATTGATGGACATACAATGTCAGTGTACTAACATAAAGGAAAGCCAGCGAACAGAAAGTAATTCAACATCATCGTAATTAACAACAAGAAAGAACAGGGTACCAAAAGGAGGCTATAATCCTTCACGGCAACACTAATGTAAAGAACTGTGAACAAAAAGGAACCAGGATCTGTTGGAAACATGGATTTTCACATATTTAATAATCTCAGTTGTTGTCTATGATGGAGGGTTGATGTTGATATGGAGAGCTGGAGACCACGACTAAGATTCCTGAATATATGATTAAGAGGTCATAAAAAAGTGTTTTCTGTTGCAGTTTTTTTGTTAAATATGTATGAGCCATTTTTATTTTAGTTTTTGATCAAAAGGGGTGTATGAGCCATTTTTGATAAATAAGAAGTGATCCCAAATCGTTGTTGTTAATGATGCCTGTAGTTTTGACAACAATTGCTTGATATAGGATAAACCATGGAGCTTCATAAACTTTAGTCCCAGAGACACGATGCAGAGTTTATAGATTGAGGTGCTTTCTTAGTATGTGTTACAGGAGCATAGCAAGGTTACATCTAACCATCTAAAAGGATAAGGGAGCCTTTTGTATTCTGTGTTAATCTGACTAGGAACTTGTATGTATGAGCTTTTAGTCAGGTTATGGAATCCAGTTCTTTGCCTTGGAACACATGCATGTGCTGCTTTTGAAGTGTTTTTGTTAATACTGTGTTATGCAGAAAGCCAGAAACTGGGATATCTGACGAGCCAAAACATTACTGAATTTTGCATATACTAACTTGCTTTCTTTCCTTGCTCGATTTTGGGGGGAAGCCTAGGTGAATGTTAAGTAATAAAAAGGGTGAACTGCAGTTGCTGTACAGCATATTATGTAGTAAACATGCAAAATAAGCAATGGTAGTTCATATTGCTAAAAAATAGTTTAGCAATGTTGCAAGCAGGAACTCCAGTTCCACATGGGAAAATTAGTCTAGCTAAGTGCAGTACCACTATATTCTGCTGGACTAATGTTGACAGGATGAACCCAATGTAAGATCTTCTCAATTGCACGACGAAGCATCTAGACATCCCTGAGGATCACCTTTGTCATTAATTAGGTATATGTTTTTCCATTGCTAGTTGATATTTACATGTATTCAAGTTGAACCTATTGAATGATGAGGTTCTTCTGTTACCAGGAGTGGTTACACATTTCAACTTCCATTGCAGGCTGTTTATGGAAGTACAACCATCAGGAAGAATGTTGTAGTATTTGTTTGTAAAATAAAAAGGGGATCCTCAATGTAGGCAGTGCTTTTATTTTTCTACCTTTGTTCTTTGATAAACAAACTCTTTAATCATTCCCGTCATTTTGATATTAGGGCTGGAAGAGTAAATACAGCTCTAAGTTAATTTCACCCTGTAAAGGCTGTTGTGGGATGTATTAGTTACAGCAATTAAAGATGATTGATGTGAAGATATGTACACTTTTCTTCAAGTTAAAGCAAATGATTTGTAAATGTAGGCAGTGCCTTTTTTTTCTTCCCATTTGTTGATAAGTAAGTGTTTCTATCTCTTTTATTTTCATTTTGGTATTTAGAGAGGATAAGTATAGACAGCTCTTAAGTTAATTTCATCTGTAAATGCTGTTTATTAATTGCTGGGTGAAAGTGATTATTGAGGTGAAGAAAAATAGGGCTCTTGGAGTCCAGCTTGGGGGCAGTTGTTGAGTATAAATTGGACAGAAGCTGGATGAAGTAAAAATATTACTGCTCTGAAGCATGTTTTATTCCAACCCAATGGTGAGTTTGTTTTGACGGAAAGTATTTTTGATATATGTATTTTTTTTGTAATGTTACTTTTTTTTATGGTGGTTGTAACAAAATAAGTTGTAAAGAAAACCCTTTTCTTAGTGAGTGCGTTTAGGTAGAAAGAAAAATGTATTTTGAGTAGACTTATTATTCTCCTCAAATTTAAAGAAAATGAAGAAAGAAAAATGTATTTTGAGTAGACTTATTATTTTCCTCAAATTTAAAGAAAATGATTTCATTTCATGATATAAGGAAAATATTTTTAAAAAATCTCCTGATCAGTTGCCTATTCAATTCTCAATGACCAGTCGCCTATTCAATTCTCAATTTGGGTTTGGGTTAGGGTTGAGACTTGGTTCAGTGTCGAGGTTGTGAGTTGAGTCTTGAGTCGGGATTGAAGTTTGGTTTTGGTGTCTTGGGTCAGGTTTGGAAGTCTGGTTGAAGTTGGATTTGAACCATAGGTCTCGATCAAGGTTGAGAGGTTGAGTATCGAGTTGGGGTACATAATCAAGTTTCGTGTTTGGTTGAGATTTTGGGTCTGATTTGGTGTCATAGTATTTGTCTAGATTATATCTAAATGATGTTGGGATAATACTTTCTATATACTAACCAAATACCCGACAAGTAAGGAAGTCACTTATTTTTCAAAAAAATATTTTTAGTGGAAAGCATTTTCTTTTGTACCAAACAAAAGGAAATATATATAAAGTTATTTATATATTAGTTTTTGCCAAAGAATGGGTAGTAAAAGAAAAATGTTAAACGAGACTAGAATATGTAAATACTAGATAGAGGTGTTCGTGCCAGCACGGGTCCAACACCATAAATGTTTAGTATATGAGTAAGATTATAAACTATTAGTGTATAATTTGATATTGATATTGATATTGGTTGAGTGACTCGATTAATGAGTGTGTGCTATAGCGTTTGAAGTGTAATTATAGTAAGATGTACATGAAGGAAATCATAAATATACTAAAAAAATTGGAAAGATAGAACTTTATAAGATAGTTATGTACATTTTTTTTACATGATAAAGAACATGTTTGAAAGTTAGCTAAGGTGTATTCTTAATTGTTCCATTAAAACCTGTTACATAAGGCACAAAAGATAATGTATTAGCATTCATACATTTGGAAGAAGGTATGCAATTTGCAAGGAAACCAAATAACACAAAAAATGAAATATTCAACAAAAGTAGTTAAGGAAACATATTTTAAAAGAGAATTGTGCAAATATAGCAGAAAGAATTTGTTCTATGGTAGAATGAAATAAGAAGAATAACA